TTCCAGTTTATGACAAAAAATGACTTCTATATAAAGAATAAAAAATAGTATTTCAATATTTTTATTACTTTGTTATTTTTATTACTTGTATTACTTTGTTTTTTGATTAATAGTATTAATCAAAAAACAAAGTAATACCCCAAAAAAAGGCAACAAAGTCAGTTATGACACAGAAAGACAGACAGCCACCACAGCCGATTGGTGTCTTGTAATAGGCATTTCTAAAAGAAAGACACGAAATGTAAAAGAAACAATCTCTCTCACTCTCTCTACAATGACTCACTCACTAACATGTTAGTCAGCTACAACGACGGAAGTAGCTGCATTGCAAGTACTTCTTGTACTATCTATCAAAAACTCTTAGCAAAACTTTACTATACTGATACTAACGAGGAAGAAGTAACTTAGTTGCATTCCAACTACTTATAACAAGTAAAATTACAGTATTAATACTAATACACTGATAGAGAAGGTGCTAGCTTCAATACAAAAAGTAGTCGCAATGCAGGTACTTCTCGTCTGCATAATATATGACTAATCTATAAGTCTTTTTTTGGAAAAAAGGGCTTTCATTAAAGACATTTAAAAATATTGAAATACTATTTTTTATTCTTTATATAGAAGTCATTTTTTTGTCATAAACTGGAAAAAGGAGGATTTTGATAAAATATACGCAAGAAGAATCTTCCTAAAATGATTATTTATGAAAATCTTTTTATGAAATACCCAAAGATAAAGATCGCTACGCACCGGTTATTGAACTTTATGTTTCAAATGTTTTACTCTTCCTTTAATTTATTCACACAAGCTTATGTAATTATTTGTAACAGTTTTGACTTTTAATCGAGTGTATTAAAAGAGAGTGCGGAAAATGTAGTTCACTAATACCATCTGATGTACTGTTGCAGTCGTACAATGTTACTAAAGATAACGAAGCCCAGTGGAAGAGCTGGCAGAGAACAGAGAAAAAAGTAATAGTGCCGTTGAAAGGAACGTCAAAGCTCTTCCACTTACATTTTTATTTTCTTAATGATTATATTATTAAGATGTGAGCTGTGGCAGGAGTGAGAAGAGAGAAACTTGTCCTTTCTACTAGATTTCCGAAGGAGGTATATAAAAGATCCTCATGTTTTGCTGGACTATTTTAGAGTATGATTTCTAAGGATGTCATCCAGTCTATCTTAGGAAACGTAGAAGATGTTTTGGATCTAATAGACGAAAGATTAGACCAATTTCTATTTCATCGGTATGTAAATCATCAACAGAAACAGCACATTAGTGTACTAAAATGTATCGGATAGTTGCTATTTATCGTTACGGTTTTGATACGCTCTATGCGAAAGATCTTTTATATGTAATTGTACGTCAAAACAAATATTTGGTCGTTACTGTGAATATATGTATGGTTATGAAGGTGGTAAACTGCTGAAGAAGAATTTCAATAACTTATTAAAAAAATAATTGACATGAAATTTTACTATTATAGCGTGTATTTCGATCGAACGCCAGTATGTTATCGATTCCTTTTTACATGTTCTAATCCTTGTCTCGATTGGAGAGATATATGTGATCTAGAATGGGATTGTAATGAGGGAGAAGACGAACGCCATTGTGAACATTTAGAAATAAACACGTGTAATAATATTACAGAATATCGTTGTAGAAATTCATTGTGTATTGATCGTCAATTTCTCTTAGATGGTCAACCAGATTGTTTGGATGCAACTGATGAACAGAATAGTGTTATATCTAAAACGCAGGATAATTACTTATTATGTAATTCATTTGCAAGTATGAATTGTAATGAGCATTATTGTTCAAAAGAATATTTCTCATGTTCCGACGGTCGTTGCATTGAATGGAATGATCGATCTTATTCAATAGATGCAACATGTCTTCATGAACAGATAGATTCTATCCATATGAAACAAAATCTTATTTGATGTACAATGAGAGTGGTCCATGTAAATGTTATGCATATTTTCCTACTAACCGCACAGACGAATGTATTGACACCATCAAATGTGCTATTTTTGATGAAAATTATGAATGTATTATTAAATATAATCGAACGTTCTCTTACTTAATTAATCAATGTTTTTCTGCCGATAAAAGACATCTATATTCTAAATCTTATTTTTTATCACCGATTGTTAAAACATATTATCTACATGAACAATTTCTTACTGATGATTTCACTGAAATCTATCGACCGGGTCTTATCTGCTTGGAGGGGAAATTTAAATGTAGAGGAATTGAAATTCGATACTACAATAATGATAAATATTGTTTTAATTATTCTGATATTTATGAGAACAATACGTATCCATTTTTACCATTTGAATTTCTATTTTGTCAAAATCAAACGCATAATCATCCGTCCTATTGCAATGATACGAAGAATTTCTACATATGTCCTGTGTCTGGTGAATGTATTTCAAATTATCGCCTACACGATGGTTTTACCGATTGTATCGATGGTTCCGATGAAAGATATACGTCGCACAACAATTTGGATTCATATTTTACTCGAGATCGATTTCATTGCGAAATAAATACTGAACAAACAATCATGTTCTATTTTGTCGGTAAGAAAGTATGAAACAAAAATGAGCTGAGAAATTTGAGTGTTATGCCCCGCAGCCACTCAGCGAGATGTTCTTATCACGACGGAACGGAAAAAGACCATAACCAGACACAGAAATCGAACCCCAGGTCTTCCGCGATTACCGGTCGGACGTACTATCATTACACTACCGGGCTGTCGTCTTCCGTCTTAGGATCTCTGCTGGATCTTAACATTGAGTCAACTTATTTGTTGCTGTTTGCATACTTTTGTTCGTAAGTATTTAAGTTAGACTTCTCTTCAACTCGATCAGGAGTCAAACCATTGATTACAGTCAACCTTTTAAAAAGTTTTTATCGTAGTGGTTTTCGGAGAAAAATATATGCTGAGTCTTGTACTTAAAATTCCTTTTAAACGTTTTTGAATTCTCTTCAGAAATTCTTCTTGCTAATGTTTATTATTGAAACTCTACTTAACACGTTCGCTTTATTAACTTAGGTGATGCGATAAAACACTGTTCGGATGTACAGATGAAATGGGAATACGTATCAATTATCAGACTGTTGTCCAGTGTGGTGATCCCAAATTTTTCTCTCACTGTAATGTATTGAAAGAAAATTTTACCTTAAAAGTTTTAGTACCATTTGACCATCTCTGTAATTCGATATGGGATTTTCGAAACGGTTTAGATGAAATCGATTGTCTAGAATGGATTTGTGAAACAGACTGGTATAAATCAAGTTCGCGCTTAGATTCTACTAACAGATGGACTGGTAATTGTGTACACAGGAAGTCGTTTAAAGATAAACAATTTGATTTTCCAGATGGAAGTGATGAAATTTGCACAGTCAAACAAATGAGGTTAAAAAAATGTAACAACTGCTCACATCCACATCACCCATTGCTGAAATGTTCTGATGTAACGACGATAAACAATGAACTGCCATGTACAATATTTGCTAACGATGTGATCGAGTGTTTAGGTGGTATTGATGAACGAATGACGTATGCTTGCTCAGATGGCCTTCCATTGGATAATCGTTTTCTTTGTCAACATGATTTGAAGTGTATTGAACAAATATATTTGTGTGATAATATTCGACATTGCTCAAATGGTGAAGATGAATCTTTTGAATTATGTGGCACCAATAACTGTGGACAAGGTGAATTCGATTGCCAAGAAAATTCAACGAGATGTATTCCCAATACATGGAGATGTGATAATGAAAATGATTGCATAGAAAATGAACGAGATGAAAAATTATGTATTGTGAAAAGAGTTAACAAAAACTATAAGTCAATACGGGAACCATTAATAGTTGAACCCAAACCTCGTTCTGTATTAAAGTTACGTTCAAATCATCAATCATTGAAAAAAGTAAAAGAAAAATATGATATTAAACACGCGAATGAGTTTATCCACAAATGTAATTCGGGTGTACCGGTAATGCGTTTGAACGAAGAAAAATGTCTATGTCCGGCACATGTTCATGGTGATTTATGTCAATATTATTCACATCATTTAACAGTTGTATTTGAATTGAATATTACTTCCAGTAAGAATCAACTACAACAACTAACTCCAGTTGTTAAAATTGGAATTTTATTGAACTACAAAGATAAGATAAATGATCATCTTTTTTTAACACGAAATATTCTTAATCGAAATACAGTATATAGAAAAAATCGTTTGTATCTAAATTATCCATTTAAACAAGTAGATAAAGTTTATGACGAGGCATTCTTCAACAATTATAAAGTTCAATTTCTATTATACAATCTATATGAAAGGAATGTTTCATTATTTGCGGTATGGCAATACAATATCAAATTTCCGTTTCTACCGGCATATCGATTAGCCACAGTATTGAATCTCGACCTAAAATACCAAAATAAAAAAATATGTGCACAACATGCATGCAGCATACATGGTCAATGCTATGTAATACAAAACAATGAAAGTTTGTATTATTGTTCATGTGATTATGGATATAGCGGTCAATTCTGTAATGAAACGCATGATCAATGTAATAATTGTACAAATAATAGTTTATGTTTACCAACTTATTCTAATCAATATTTTTATTGCGTCTGTCCGCTTTATCAGTTTGGTTTAACATGCCATTTAGAAGTAGAACAGTGTGATGAGTATCTGTGTGAGAACAATGGTACATGTTTAACATGGATAGATGAATATCATCAAGAAAAAATTTCTTGTTTGTGTCATGCAGAATATTTTGGTCAATATTGTGAAGACGTGGCTGTCTCTTTATCATTAATATTGGAAGATGACGGCGGGGATGATTTAATAAAAATATTGCAAATGATGGATACGCTTAACAATGGACTATTGATTGTTAGTCAACAAATATTGAATAATTTAAAATTAGTAGATAATAATACTTATCTCATCAATTATGGTAAATCTACACTGTCAGAAATTGTTCTTTTGAAAACATATTCTATGAATCAACAACAAGCAAATATGTACTTAGTATATTATAACCTTAATATGAAGCCACTTACAATCATTAACAACAAAACAAAGTGTTCAAATACAAATGAATTAAATTTAATACCAAATTCATATACATTTATTAATGATATATTCACCGTGTTAAAAAAATACCAACGACCATGTCAAATTCCAAACCAAATCTCATGTTTTTATGATCTGAATATATCGTATCTCTGCTTCTGTGATCCGAAAGCGTTACGTGCAGATTGTTACTATTATGATTTTGATTATGATAAATGTTCTTATTGTTTGAACAATGGACGTTGTTATCGAGGCGAAAAAGATAATTCAAATGATTTTCTTTGTAAGTGTTTGAAATGTCAATATGGAGAAATATGTGAATATTCCACAGAAAATTTTGCATTTTCGTTACAAACATTACTATTATCTTTTTCGAGTGAAGAAAATGTCTCAAGAAATAAAGGTAAAGACCTACTTGTTTATTCTAAGAAAATCTTATGATCATAACAGTTTCATTTTTTTTGAGAGCTGTAGTTTTGGGTGAGAGAGAAGCGGAAACTTACAAAACCTGAAGAAATGTGACAAATGAGAATTGTTATTTAGTCAAGATTTTAGAACATTATGAAGATTTTGTGCTGAAGTTAAGCTCGCTAAGTACAACTTGAGTACATGTAGAGCTCGATGTCCACCTGCTGCGATGTTGAGCACCTCCTTTTTCTTTGTACTGATGCAATTTGTTTTACAAATCTTTACAAATCACGATCAACCGAATACTACACATCACTCAGCTGCTCAACTCCAATATGCATGGCAAATTCAAAACGATAGAGAATACGCTAGTTAATTAAAAAATAAGCGACCACAACCGCCACTTAGTTCTACTGCCTCGCCCTAGACGAAAAGATTTTTAAAGAATCTGATAAGATTCTTACCGGTTTCTTAAATAAGATTCCGCAGGAAAGTCCCAAGAATTCCATAATAAAAGCATAAGAGCCTAATGAGGAAGTCGAAAGAGTTCACACGAAAGGGATAGGAACTCGTATTTAATTCTTATCTGTTTCATACGAATTTCTTTCAGGAAGCTTATTAGATTCTTATCAGATTCTGATAGTATTTTGTACTATAAGTATTTTGTTTACTCAGAACATATGAAAAGAGTTATTCTGGACAACAAGTCAGGTAAAGAATTGATTTTACTAGATGAAACACTTCAAAAAATGTGTCCGGCAACCGTTTAATGTTGAAACAGTAGTCGTTCTACTTTCGGCAAAATTATTTTTTCTTTTGGATAGATAGACTATTTATTTCAA